AAATAAATGTTTAAAAAAAAAAAGATACCAGAAAAATAAGAAAGTGATAAAAAAACAAAATTTTTTTTAGTTCATAAAAGCCATAAGGTGTTAATACATCCTTTCAAATAGACAGGTTACTATTTATACCTAGTAATAGGTCTCTCAATAATCATGCATACGATTAAATATAAGATTGACCATCATCGGTTGATTTGATTACAATAATAAGCAGTTTTTATTATTTGTTGCTTGTAAGACATGAGCAGCTTACAAAGAAAAAAATAGGGGGGAGTTTTAAGAGGGAAAAAGATTAGTAAATGTAATGAGTTTTCTGTCTTTTTAAAAATTTACTGTAAGTATATCTATGTAATTGAGAAAATGTATGGCTACTAGCTAATTGCATCGTATGCAAATTTATGGAAATTAAAAAAGAAATTTAAATTCTTAAAAGTGTACTCTTGGAGAGCAGAGCTCAAAATCTGCCTTGTGGTGTGAGGAGAGAAGAAGACGATCTCTTCAGCTGAGACACTTCTTTATTTCTGGATTTTCAGGCTTTTTTGCTGAGTAGCTGCTTGAAAAAGATGATCTCAGAAAAGACGGTAAAGCTAGCTGCAGAGAATCCAGAAATGGTAAGTGCTCTTATCCGTGTATATTTTTCAGTTAAGTTCCCACCATCAGCCTGTACTAACCTACACTGGTGAATGCTGGTCCTCAAGGGAGGAACGTGACCTCCCAGAAGTGAGCTCCTCTGCCTTCTGGGAGCTCAGTCTTTAGAATTCAAGCCATTTTTCCAAGACAGGTGTCCTTACGTTGCTGAGAACTCTCCAACCCTCTACTCTGTATTCTTCTGTTTCTGCTTTCCCCCAAATGAAAGATTCCAGATTTACCATAAAAACTACCTCATAAGGTCAGGATCCTGAGAGGTCTGCAACATAGCAGCGATGAACTTCAATAAGCTCTCCAGTTTTGTCTCTAGAAAGAACTCACAGCTTCTTGAAATTTCCACCGTGCCAAATTAAGATGCCGTTAGCAGTTGGAAGAAGCCATAGAGTGAAAGAAGCTCTCAAGGCTATAAATTTTTCTCAGTGTAAGATTAAACTTTGCTTTTCTAGTCTGCGTCTCTTCAATAAAGGCCTAGTAACTCCTTGCAAAGGTTGGTGGCAAGCTGTAAAAAGAGACACTGAGATATTAAACTTGTCTATTTGCCTTGTCGCCATCATGATATGAGCATATCCCAATAAGACAGTACAGTTTATGTTTTAAAAATGATTACAGGGGCTCCTGGGTGGCTCAGCCGGTTGAGCGTCTGACTTCGGCTCAGGTC